TGGGGCTGTGGTTTGTTCACAGCCACCGGGTCTCACTTTCCTTTTTTCATCAGCATAGCCAAGAGGCAGCTACACCACTCTCTTTGAAATGTCACAGCACTCTCCTCAGTTGCTGTTCAGGACTCTCAGTAGCTCCTGTCTCGTCACAACAACCTCAAGTTCTCAACCCCATGTTGGCAAAATCAAAATTGCACCACTTAAGCTGTCCTTCAGCCTATGATTATCGCTGGCCAAGTCAAAAACATCTCCAAAATGAACACATAAGCCTTCAGAGTTTAGTATCAATCAGCTCCCCCAAAAAATCCAGTGGCAAGATCCAAAAGCAAAATGTGTTTGGAGAAAAGACATTCTCTGATCTCATGGACAATCAGAGCTGTCTGCATACCTTTCGATTCACATCATCTGCTTTCCTCAGTAACACTCTGCTCTCCTTTCCCTCATGCTGAAATATAAAACCATAGCTTCCCACAGCTCCACAGTACATCCCAAATTCTCTCAGAGCACATGTCTTTGCCAAACTGAAGGATTATTAGGGCTGGGCTTGCCTCTTCATGACCTGTGAAAGGCCTAATACATTTTTGGGCACGGGGACTGCAATTTTTGCAAAATGATCTTGAATATTCTATTAGACCAAGTTCAAGTTCCATGATCTTACTTTCAGTTTTAGTGGGGACATATCTGGATTTTCCCCTGTGACAGAAGTATTTTTGCTCACTCTTGACCTGAGAGAGAACAATCGTATAGGAAGGGTAAGGAAAGTAAATCTGAACTCATGACTTTAACTGGAAAACAATATGGATTAAATAACACACTTTATTTATGGCATGTCAATAAGAGTAACAGCACTAAGAGTAACAAAGGAAGGAAAGAAGAAACAAAGTATAGAAAAATATGTAATCTCCTAATTTAAAACAAAAGTATAAGCTAATTAAGATATTGATCCCCAGTTAATTGCCTCATGAAATTGGAAAATGTGTCTCTAATTCAAATGAGATGCTTTGCTGACTAAATACTTGGTTCCTTTTGCTCCTCGTCTCCACAAGCTGTAGTATCTTACATAGAATAGGATGAAATCAGTTTAAGAAAGATTGGGAATGTTCTTCTAGAGGGGACAGGCAGGACTCCTGTGCATTCACTTTTACAGGGTCTGCCTATCTAAGCATATTCAGGAAAATTCACCTGAAATAAGTAAAGATGTGTATTTAAAATAGATTCCTAAAAGTTGCATTCCTGTTGTTATATACTTACGTTGAAAATTAAGGTGTTTGTCATTCAATTTAGGTTGAATTATTCTGGAATAACAGTTTACAGATTATTAGCACTATAGTTATGAATAGGTGTCCATCTCACAGATTAAACAGAGTTTAACTGTGGCTTCATTCAGTGTGTACACAAATTTGATCTCATGCATCAAACAAAGTATTATTGCCCTAACTCTTAATGTGCAAATATCTAATTTTTATAATCACTTTTCTTTTAGGACACAATGTCAGGCAGATTTTCCTCTAGTTACTATCATATGATGACACGTAGTAAGGAAGTCCTTTTACCAGTGCTTGATTTCTATGGGTTGCAGTGAGCAGCTGACCAGAAAGCCAGTTGAAAGATGATGAAGCAAGAGAGTATTTCAAATTTTAATTACATAATTTATTTAAATAACTAAGGAAAAATATGATCTTTTGTCTAACTCTTTGGAAGGAAGCGCAGAACATCCTTGACATTTTGTAACCTGAAGTTGTGCTTTCTGAATTCTCTGAAGACTCCAAGTGACTCGAGGACACTTTGCTCAGTCTCTTCCTCCCCATTTTTCTATTCCTCATCCAAAATAGGAGTGATAAGGCAATCTTCCTGCAAACACTGACCTCCAGCTCAAGTGCCCACTGTGCAGGCCATGCTCTTCACCTTGTTGTACAATAGCTACCACAAGTTAGACCAGGCTATTGCTAGGGCTGTTAAATGCAGCCACAATAAACCTGTCCTGTATCGTCACACTGAGTAATTCAATAAAGGCATCTCCAGGCTGCTTCCAGTTCTTTTAAGCTTATGGAGTCTCTTCTTGACACAACTATATTATTACTATATAAATCTTTATATATTTATGGCAAACAAATAAATAAACTTACAATAAACATAAATTCATACTTGAACTGGTTTACTTTTCTCACGGACAAGCACTCTGCACTATATGGCTCTCTTCAATATTACACGTCCAGAGTCAATTATAAGCCCTTTACGTTTCCCTAGAAGAAGGTTAAAATTCAGTTCTCTCTTATTGCAGTTTGCAAATATAATGCACTCTACCATTGGCTTCAAAAAGCTCTTCAGTTAAATTATCTTGTGCAACACTGCTTCTTAGTCACTGGTACCTCCCTACACAACAAACTGAAAACACCCCACTTCCAGGGTATTTATTGGTCTGTTCCTTAAATGTGATAGTTATTTTACAACATATTTATTTTTCATTCAAATGACTGCATAGACAGTTTTGGAGTGTGGGGTTTGTTTGTTTTGGTTTGTTTTTTTTTTTTTTTTTTTTTCATTTTGAGTGGGGCTGCAACCGTGCTTTTAAATTTAAAATGTATCCTAAAGGCTTTGAGTCAATGCTGTCATCCTTTGTGCCTCTCCCAGTAAATCAGTTGCTCAGTTCTTTTTGTTTTCAGGATTTAAAATACTGTTACTAGCAGAAAGTAAAGTGATGTGTTAGCATAGCAGAGTTTGCTCTGTTATTGACCTGAGGCAAGGAGCCCAGAAAACTGGAGGAAAATGATCCATGGAAATCTATAATCCTTCCCTCTGCCCTCACCATAGCTCCAGAACATGAGATTATTATACTTGTTAGAATAATTACTTATCTGCCCATGGCCAGGGCTGGTGTCTACTGGAATGTTAAAAAGGTCCACACCTAATTACTGTGCTGACTCAATTATTTTTGTCCAACTCAAACTTCAAAGAAATCCATTATAGCTTATCCCCCAACCAAGGAAAGTAAATGGTCTGATTGGAAGGATCAATATGCTCCAAAAGGTTGAGAGAGGAATAAAGAAGAGAATTCGAGTGCTTTTCTATAGGGTCCTATAAAGGCTGAGAACCTTCAGTGTGAGTTAATTGCTTCTGCTACCAATGCTGCAGCTCCCAAACCTGACCAGATTTTCTTGTACTTCTTGCAGCAAGGCTGTTACCTGGCAATCCTGGTTGTTACACATCTGCATCATTTTGTCTGATTTTTACTGGATACTCCTTGGGACAGGGACTGTGTCTTTTCTGCATTTTAAGAGTTAAGAAACGAGCACCTAATACCTAATTACTACATACATCAAACTTAAAATTCAAGACGCCTTTGTTGGTTCTTACTTTCTATGACTCAACAAATTTGTTGCCTTGTGGTGCTAAACACAGCTGTAAGTACAAGAAAGAGAAAAAAGGTCAGTTTTTCTATTAGAGGTGTGTCTTCTCATTTCATAGAAACCCACTGACACTGGCACTGATATTTTGTGTGCTGATTTCCCCCCTCCTCCAAGATATTATTTCTGTGAAAGTGCAAACGAGCACCTTTCCAGCAACATCTGTCAGCAAGGAAGACTGAGCATTTTTGGCATTTTCACGGGCAGAAATGACAGCGCTGAAAACAGTAAGTACAGTATCAGTGATGCTGAGGGGATATCGTAGAAAGCTACATTGATACAGAAATTCCACAAAAAGCTGAAGTCCAGCTAATAAAACACTTCCCAAAGGAAAAATGTGACGTGCTTTCTAGATGCCTGTCCTTGACTGCCCTTTTTCTAAAGGATCCAATTAATATTCCTGCAAAATTTATTAACCACACTGTTTTCACGGCTGGGATTTCCCCATGCTATCTGAAAGGATAATCAGCCTCTGGGCATGCTCAAAGCCATTACTAAGGGGGCTAAAGCCTCCTCTTGCCAACACGAAGCTGCTGCTGTTTGCATGAGGTCTTAATGCTCCTGTCAGTGGCAAAGAAAACCTCCCCTGCCCAAGAGCCTTAGGGGGATGAGCAAATCAACACCTTACACAACACCTAACCTTAAGAAGTCTCAATTAATGATTGCTGTGTTATCTATTGGGGCACCTATATGGAGAAAGCACCACGTTTTTACTTGCAGGACTGCAGTGTATTTTTTTTCACAAATTTACCACATGTGATTAGGCACAATTAGCAGTAGCGGGTCACAGGAGGCCTGGGAAACTGGAAAGCACAGAACCAGAATGGGTCTTTTCTCCTGAGAGTCCCTTTGAAGGTCAGGGTTGGAGTGGGCGGCAGTCTGGTTTCACAAATCCGCTCATCTGTACACCTCACTCAGGCTGGTTACAGGGAAAGCAAGTGCAATTCCCCCACGGCTTCCCAAAGGCACAGAGTCAAACATGTCACCGTAGTGAAAAAATTAGGATTCCTAATGAGAAATTATTTACTGATGCTCTTGCTCTTTCTGCCTCTTTATTACTGCTGCTCATTATTTCTACCCATAGGACCAGTCCCCGCACCATACAGCGACACACACTACAGACAACGGGAATGGGTGACAAGACTAGAGCAGCTTGGAGCGTGTTAAATCTGGGATGTTAATCCGTGAAGTTTTAGGCTGCTACTTTTTGACTGTACCCTTTATGTAAGTGAGGCTGGTACAGTCCGTTTCAGAGCTAGGAAACCCCTCCCCTTCACTTGCACTTCTGAAAAACAGAAGATTAAGTTAAATTGAAAGGCTTTGTTCCTCAGCATTTAAAAATGAATTGGCTTGAATTTGTAATGTAAACTCAAGCTCTCTCTGAAACATTAAAAATAGTATTCAGCTGCAAATTTGACCGCAAATTACAGAATATAACAACTTGCACTATAAAGAACTGTAAGGCAAGATGAAGGTATCCCCAGCCCCTTTGCCTTTAAAATGCCATGGAAGCACAGAGACTTTCAGCAGAACACCTTATCTGCTCTCCAGAGCTGTGACTCTTCATCCTTTCGTTATGAAGACCCAGGGGATTGCTTACTTAGCATACACCAGAGGCAATGGATAGGGTGAGCAGTCACTGCAGCCAGAAAACCCCAGTACAGAGCAAAGGCAATTACCCTCCACATGCAGAGACTTTGGAGCTGAATTGTGCTGAATAGAGAACCCCTCCGGCTGAGAGAGCCATGTGTGCCCGGGAAGAGCTGCCACTTTCCCTCCGCTGAAAAACAATGCAGTAAGTGACTTGGATTTTGCAGCAGGCTCGGGTTCCCTGGGTTAATCAGGGGCTGAAGCCTTGCAGCTTTTGCTGGGAGAGGCACAACCTCCAGCCAGGGAGCAGTGTCAGAGCTGCGTGATTTTTTTGTTGTTGTTTCTAAATCAAGTGCAGGAATTCAGCTGATATGCAGTGACACTAACTGTATCGTTTTACACTGTGTGGATGTGTGTGTATTGCAGGGGTGTGCTTGCTGTATGGTCCTGTGCTGAACTAATACTGTTAGGTTTGTAGCTTTTTTCCTATAGTCATGTCTGACTGTTTAAACAGAGATGGTGCTTAATAACTTAATGTCAGCATACATTTCTGCTCTCTTTCTTAATTCTACAGCATGCTCTCAATGCTTGGGTGCAAACTATTTTCTGTACTATTACTCTAATGCTGGATTTACAGTGTCTGTGCCTTTGGATAAAGGTAAATTGTAGATTGCAACTATGTGAATGAGTGCCTTGATGATGAATAACACTTTTATTTGACTTCAGCAGATATGGCTAATTTCTAGTTTGAGGTAAATTCTTCAGTGTGGTCTGAAATTGCAGATGCTTTTTTGTAGACAAATGTTTATAAGCAGTACTTTATCATAGCATAGCTGTGATTTTCTTTAGATTCAAATGTTCTGTTTCTGTACTCTGCAGTAAGAGCTTTCTCCTCATACTGGGTAGGAGAAGGAAAGTGTGATTTAAAGTTTGGTTTATAAGAGGGATTTTTTTACTTAGTTTGAAAGTGTTTGCAAAATTAGAGTTTGGACAATAATTGGAGGCCTTTGGAAGAAACTCTGTGCAGCATTTAAAGCAAATTTCACTGCAGTTTTTGTTCTGTTAATTTAGGGACTAATATTAGGCTGCATTCCTCTGGTTTCTTGATACAGCTTTCTCCGTGACTTACGAGGCTCTGGCTTTAGAGTAACTGCCTGCCTTGAGAATAACTGCCATCTTGGGCTTCAGGCATGTTTAACTTTAAGGCAATGCATGCTAAATTTTTAAGAGCAGTACATGTAAGTGCCAAAAGTTATGGATTCTTTTCTTACTGTTCAGTCAAATGTCAATATTAAATAGCCATTGACCTCTTGTAAAAGAGCACTAATGAAAGCAGTCTTTAATTTTCCAGCTCAGTTTTTGTTTTAAAGTTGGGGTTTATTTCTTGTAAACTATTGGGAAACATATAGGAAGTCTTCACATAATGAAGAAAAAAATTCCTCTTTGATTTATCTGTATTTTAGTTTTGAGCAAAATTTGTAGTGTCACTTTATTAGAAGGGATAATTTTCAGAAATTAGACAAATGAAGTTCAGTTTCTGCTGGAAGAGTTCTTACAGAGATGCTGCTAAAGATGTGTGTAATGTTTAGTCCTAGGCACAGTTAATGACACTGAGAAATAGCCTGGAAGCTATCGCACCTTTCCACCCACATGCAACATGCTTGTCTTACAGACTTTTCTCTTTGAGATTGATACTCAGGTGCTGATAAGAGCTGCTTCCTCTGACACTGCAGACAGGAGAATTTTCTCCTTTTTGCCTTAAGAGAACCCTTGTGCCATATGGTGCTATTGAGTTTCTATCATTAAGATAATGAGCAATTAATAAGTGATAATTATTCTTCATTAACTGTACAACTTTGAAGATGGACAAATCTACAAGGAGGGTGAATCACATCTGAACCTGATCTGCTCCCCTCTTCCCTTTTTCTCCCATCCTGACTTCTCCCCTTCTGTTTATAAGCACTTGGTAGGTGTTATAGTTGCTGTCATGTAAGGACCTGAACCTAAGATCAGCACAATTTTTCCAGTAACAAGCTCACAATCAGGGTGTCTGTCATTTGTCCCCATTTTCTCCATCTAGATATCCAGCAAAGCCAATAAAGAATTTGGAACATTCGAGGATTTATTATAAGGTATCTCTTAATGATCATTACAAACCTAGTATTGATTTATCTATCATGAGGAAATAGCAGGGCTTTTACCTGTAACTATAATGTACTCAGAACACGCAGTTTTGATGACATTATTATCAGACATTTTCAGGTAAACCAATTCTAGTAATTTAACAAGTTGCTGTTTTAAAATTATTTTCTCTGAGAAACAAAATGGGAGGAGGAAAAGAAATGCAAATAATGGTTGATGTTGGAAAGATACTGGATTCATAATGAGAATCACAAGATGAAAATAAGATTATGGCTGGTTTTATGCCTTCATGCAACTTTGAGTCTCTAATCAAAATGAGTTTCCTGAACTGGAACCTTAGAATTATTTATCAGATATTATTGTTCATGTCAAATCTAAATGGAGAACATTAGGTATAAAATCTAATTTCTCAGCAGTCTAGAATAAGTATATTGGTAAACAAATCTTTTCATGTCTTCATCCTGTCTTTTAAGTAATCCTGGCTAGAGCCTTGCCTAAGTCAAATTCACTTTAATGCATTGCAATCTTAGAGAGATACACACAAAGGGAAGTTTACTAATTTTATCCTAGATTGCCAGTAATGAATTTCAAGTGAGTTTAGTTAATTAACAGTGGTTGCTCAACATTTGTAGTCACCTAAACTACTTTAATTCACATCACTACTTCTCTACCACTTTTTCACTTGTAGAAGCACTGGTAACATTTCTTTACAATATGAAATACGACTGCACCATCTTGTCATTTAAGTACCAGAGACAAAACTTCCACTACAAAACTGTATAAAGAATTTGCAGTGGGTGGATAAACATGCTCCATAATTTCAAAGCACAGTGAAAATATGTGTGTCATAGTTGCACCAGGAACCAGTGGTGCAGACAGTGTTTCATTAAAAGATATGACATTGAGAACATTCTCAGAGATAAGCTTAGATTTATTTGTACAAGAGATTTTTTTGTACCACGCTTAATAAAGCTGACATGCTTATAAAGAAAACTATCTTACAGCTAGTGATGTCCAAAATGTGCCACATATGTAGTCAATAATTTCCTTCCGACTACAAAAGAAAGGACATTGTCTTCCTTTCCTGTTGTTCAAGGGTAGACTTTGTGATGGTGTCAACTACTTAGATATGCTGCATAATAATTATTTTATTCATATGTATGAAAGCAAGTCTCTTAGAATCTTCATTATACTTATCTGCTGTGAGCATCAAGATTGAATTTAACTGGGATTTTCAGATATATGCTTAGACAATCCATTTTCAACAACAAAATGAATATGCTATTGTTTGCTACTATCACTTCTTACCAAGAACAGTTGCTTAATACTCTGTAAGAGCTACAATTCAGAATGCTTTGCCACAGTGACTCTCTTCACTTTCCACACCCACACAAGCCCCAGAACCTACTGTGTGTAAAGCAGAAGTGCAGTAGTATTCAAGGAGGATTAAAGGACTAAGATTGAGTACTTCCTAAATATTGCTGTCTGAGCTGTTGTTTTAAACAGGAGGAAAAATAATTTACTTGCCTTTTCTAAGTGCTGTTCAAAAGATATAGATATGTACCCAAAAACCACTTAGAAAGATCATGTTCTACATTTTGCTAAGTACCTTCAAAGTGCACCTGTAAGGTGGGTTTACCTTCAGAAGATGCAGAAGAAATGCTCTACAATTCTTCCACCTTCTGTATCTGCTCCCTAAAGCTTTAGGCAAGAATTCTGGCATCTGACTTTTTGAGGGTTCCATACATTGAACTTTAAAATAAGGCTGTGGAAGTATGTATCTTAATAAACTTGATGATCAGTGACAGACTGTAAATCAGATATCTGATTTTCGCTGAAATATCTGAAGGAGACTCCAAATGCTGTGTGGTCAGTTCTGAATCTTCATGACTTCATGGAATCTTTAAAGATATTTTCATTCCTTTAGAACATAAATACAAAGGAAACAGCGTGTAAACTGAACAAGGGTTTGCTTGAACAATGGCTGCAGACACACATACCTTTTCTCAGTATTATTTTATCATTTAAGTTTCAATTCTATTTTGTATAGCCCTGGCAAGACTAAGCTTCTGGAGGTCCTATCCACAGATACTCTGAATTCATAGTAGTCAGCCAGAGAAATTCCTAGACAGGAAAAACATCATATCCCCAGTGTCAGTCAGAACTTTGTTCAGAGGGAAAGATGAGGAAATGAGACAGAAGGTTGCTGAAAACACAGATGCTCACATTTCTTCTGCTAGAAACAGAAAAAGGATTTATATCTTTTTATCATAAATCACAGGTTTTCTCTTATTGCTTTGCTTTAGACTTTCAATCAGTGTTGATGGCTGTAAAGAACCACATGCTCAAGCAAATCTAAATTATCTGATGGAAAAGGCTCCCCTTTTTCTTCCTACTCCATCTGATTGATTTCATGATTACTGGAGAATTTGCTGTATCACACATCTAGTTTGTATTGTCCAAAGTAGCTGATGTCACCCATCCAATTTTTGTTTCCATGTTCAAATTCAAGCTCCCACTCCCTCTATCAGTGCTTGCTCTCATTCAACAGTGATTTTTAAAAAGCCTGGTGGGAGCCATGAGCCAGAAGCCCCAGAGACTACAAAAAACAGCAGGACTGAAGAGGAAGCCTTAGCCCTCAACACAGAAGGAGCCAATTTTTGTCAGCAAGATCTTGTCAGGAAAGTGTCTGCCGTTATTAGAAGTCCAAATAATGACAAATCATAACTACTTAAAGTCATGAAACTTGGATAAACCAAACCAAAAAGACCGAACCCTGGAAAAATAAACATTGCATTATTTATCGTCCGTTTGGGGGGGATTCTTTAGGATTTATGCTTCAAAACTTTCATCTGCAAGCATATGAGAACATTTTAGAAAAAAATTATTTGAGATCCTTGCACAGTAATCTCACCAGAGCTTCAACAGCATCACTGCATATGAAAATCATACAAGTTTAAAAAGTTAGATAACCCCTATGTTTAGAAGCACAAGTTTACAAAACATTGCTTCCTCATCTTTTTGTTACAATTTTACATGCTTGTCTTTGTGTTTTAGAGACAG